AGGACCAGCGCAAGCCCCGGGGACAACATTCCTCTCAACTCCATTCTCCTGCCCGAGAAGATAGTGATCGATCGCACTGTCGCACTTTCTTTCTACCCTACCAAATTCTTCCTCACTTTGAAACAAACTCCCCCGGCCGGGCTAGCGCTGTGAATGATGCTCAGTCACTGTTTCAAATCACAAATTTAGATCCGAACTGGACCGTCCGGCCACATCGACCTGTCGCGTAGTACCGTGAACAAGAGATCGCTCCGTCGGTCAGAGTCCGGGCTGTGCAGAATGTGGTACAGTAGTCCCTCTATAATCCGGCACCATTTGTGCCACGGAAAATCTGCTGGATTAGGGAGGGTGCTGGATTAACAAATCTGATTTTTTGCTACAACGTGCATGAAGAGGACATTTTGGCTACTGAAAATTGTGCTGGTTTATCGAGGGTGCTGGATTATAAAGTGCTGGATTAAAGAGGGACGACTGTACTGCTAGTAGGCGTAGTTGACGTCTAGACCTAGCCTACATCATGCCCGATGTTCTGTCAAGTGTCTTGCATGCTGCCATTGTTGGCGGGTAGATCTAGCAGTCTGCAGTCGCGTCGGCGTCTCGGGTGAGTTGGCAGGTTTTGGTGGAGGTGTGTTCGCGATTATAAAGTTTTCTTCTGACGTACACGTAATGGAGTCTGATGTGACATAATCATTAATTTTTATAGTTTGCATCATTCTGTGGGAGCCAGGCCTTGGCTGGTGCGAACTGCGAAGGCATCATGCAATGTCATCATTGCCTCGTCGCTTGACGAAGGAGAATAAAGAATAGCATCCCATGCATGCATATATTGTGCTCGTAAATACGAATCGGAATTAGGGTTCGGCGGATTCTGCCGGCAGAAAAATTGGCAGAATTTGGTACTTTTCTGGTAAGTTTCATGCATGTTTGGTATGTGGATAAAAAAATGGAGCAGAATTCAAGGAATTGCCCGCCATACGGTTTGTATGGTTCTGCCAATTTCACTGCTTTTCGAGCAGAATCTGACAGCTTTTCGAGCAGAATCTGACAGCTTTTCGAGCAGAATCCGCCAGTCTCTAATTTTTCGGAATGCAGCATGAAACAACAATGGCGCAGCGCCAGTGCAACCTAGAGGCTAGACTGGAATGGTTAGGTAGACTTGTACAATGGCGTACAAGTTGCAGTGGCTACGTTCGTTTTAAAACACCCAGGCTGCTATTCGACTGAAGGTGGCTAGGAGTGTACCTGTCAACCAGGATTCACAGGACAGCACCAGTAAAATACACATTTGTACCTTTGAAAATAGGAAGAGAGGGAATTAGCTGCGACTCGGTTTTACGACTTAAATTCTCCTCTCTCCCAATGGAGATGTAGGCTGTGGCTCGCGGTAATTGGTGCGGTACAATCTACTGTTACTATGAGTGATGACATGATCGCCACATTGTATGATGATCATTTCCTTCAGGTCACCGTACAGGTGGTTCTTCATTCATATTGTCACAACAGCCAACAATGGTAGATAGAAAGAGAGAGAGAAAGAGAGAGAAAGAGAGAGAGAGAGAGAGAGAGAGAGAGAGAGAGAGAGAGAGAGAGAGAGAGAGAGAGAGAGAGAGAGAGAGAGAGAGAGAGAGAGAGAGAGAGAGGAGAGAGAGAGAGAGAGAGAGGAGAGAGAGAGGAGAGAGAGGAGAGAGAGAGAGAGAGAGAGAGAGAGAGGAGAGAGAGAGAGAGAGAGAGAGAGAGAGAGAGAGAGAGAGAGAGAGAGAGAGAGAGAGAGAGAGAGAGAGAGAGAGAGAGAGAGAGAGAGAGAGAGAGAGAGAGAGAGAGAGAGAGAGAGAGAGAGAGAGAGAGAGAGAGAGAGAGAGAAGAGAGAAAGAGAGAGAGAGAGAGAGAGAGAGAGAGAGAGAGAGAGAGAGAGAGAGAGAGAGAGAGAGAGAGAGAGAGAGAGAGAGAGAGGAGAGAGAGAGAGAAAGGGAGAGAGGGAGAGAAAGGGAGAGAGGGAGAGAGAGAGAGAGAGAGAGAGAGAGAGAGAGAGAGAGAGAGAGAGAGAGAGAGAGAGAGAGAGAGAGAGAGAGAGAGAGAGAGAGAGAGAGAGAGAGAGAGGGAGAGAGAAAGGGAGAGAGAGATAATACAGAAACACACGCCCTAAACGCCAGGCTGGTAGACCTACACATGTCCAACTGACTCAGCGCAGGTACTTTCCCAATGTGTGTACGGTCACTACATACCATGACCCTCGGCTGTCAATAGTCCCCTTGCGAACATTTACCGCAGGCTTGCATTATCAATTATAATTTTCAACAGCAACAAAAATGTGATGCAGTGGGGTCCAATAAGGCAGAGCACTATACTGGTATTAGTGTTTTACAACGAAATGAACGAATGTTAGGTCACTTACATATTCACGCTTTCGTCCACACCACAGCCACCATTACTTCTTGCTAGAAAGGACGCTAAGCCAGACTAAGGATGTGTCGCCGGTGCTCCTAACTTCGGTCGAGCCGCTAGGCAAAACTTTAGCATGCTGCAAGAATTGCCGCACCGTGTATGGGAAGGATTACAGCGAGTGCTCGCTATGGAGAGTGTGGCATACCTTGCTGACGTCCGACTCCGGCTCTACCAGCTACTGTACAAAACGTCGAAAGGAACTGAACGTCCCATCTCTTGAGTCAGACTAGGACTGGGACTGGGTACTTCTACAGTATTCTAAAACCTCTGTGTGCATGTGAATTTGTAACAGAGGAGCGTTACGGCAAGCGAGTTCAAGGCTTCTCGACTCAAGTTCTGTACTGGTTGTTTGGTATGGCAGGATGAAGTGACTCCAATCTGTATGCTTGAGGAGCTGCTTGGCGGTTGCAAGTGTGAACAAGAGACACGTCCGAGCTACCATATCACGCGCCAGAAGAGTGCAAGCCTCTTGAAGTCTTCGCGTCAAGACACTGAAGACACTGCGACGTTGATTTATTTCATCTTGGCATGGCCAGGGAATGGAGGGAGGTGTACCGAAGGGGCCTGAGGCGCAAAGAATAGGGCTAATCAAAAGAACCAAGTACTACACACTGTGTGCAAAACTGAACTCGATCTAATGACTTAGTAATGTACAGACATGATCGCATGAGTTGATAGCGCTTATCTAGTAATGAGTACTAATGTTAGTAATGACCAGGTGTGAATTCGATAGACAGCACAATAGCAAGTACTTCAAATAGCATGCAATGCCAGAGACCCCTGGGGCATGCACTCCGTCCACTCTCTCACCGACCGTCGTCACATCACAGGCCTTCTTCATGCAGTTGCTATGATACTGCTGTAGCTTAGCAATAGAGCATTTAGCATGCACTATCAAGCCATAGACCCTAGTATTATCACTCACATTATCCGTCGGTTGAAAACTACACCCTAACCACGACCCCGTGCAACACGATACCATCACTTATGACGCTTATCCATGACGGCAACATGTGTGCCTTCCACCAAGCCATTGCGTGCACTATTCAAGTACCGTATTCATGAACCACTTTCCCACCGAGGAGTCAAGGGGTAGGTAGCACTTTCACCATGGGATATACTACGTACATGTTATTCCAATGTACCCGTAAGAATGTATTGACCTCCTTTTACCCATACGTTCTTGTTAGAATCAGTCTCCTGATGATTGGTGGATCAAGGAACTCGGAGTAGAGACACACTCAACTGGACCTTGCGTGTGTGTGTGTGTGCGCGCGTGTGTGTTTGTGTGTGGGTGTTTAGTGAAATGAAATCTCCCATCGCACAGTGGACAGTGCCCCACCAGTATGGTCTACCTGGTCGCACGACCAAACCAATACAAATACATGATCGTATAATGTACATGTAATCAACAGCCAGGATGTGGCACCGTCCTCTATGCAGGGTGGTCTGGCTTTATTCAAAAGTTCAGCTGTAAGTCAGCAAAGACAAGCGGACACAAGCACATGTTTATCTCTGCACTGTTCATGCAGGCACCGCGAATGCAAAGCAGCAATGCAGTGCTTACAATCATCATCGAGACTGTGAATAGAAGCCTCTCCCTGGCATTGGCTTCTACAGGAATAAACCAGGCGCCACATTACGGTACATCGAAATCCCGTTGATATAATTACCGTATTACAATGTACTAGTAGCAACAAAATACAGTGCGTATCGGTTATAGCGTGGTCGTGTAAAAGAATATACTGCCTACAAGAATGAACTCTCATGTTTTCATAATCATAACATGGATTTTAAGTGCACATTTATTCTTACAAGCAATTTTATCGTACAGTAGAATATATTGGTCCTAAGAATGGACTTTGTGTAGCAAAACATACCAGATTAGTACAAAGTATATCGCCTGTAGTAATAATATCCGTCCAATTCAGTTCCGATCTGACTCGCGTTGGGTCGTACTCGTAGTGCTGCAGGTTCAACTGTTGTGGTCATGTAACTCATGTTGCATAGCCACATGGTAAGCCTATGTGACTATGACCAGCCGCAAGCACCGTAAGGGCCCGGTCACACATGCACTGGGATTCGCTTCGGCGACGAGGTTCGGCGGCAGCGAGCCTGGTGTCGCTCCAGCGAAACCACGTGTGTATGGTCACACATGCAAACAGGGCACAACTCCTACTTTGGCGGAAAATGAGAGTAAAGTGGACTGTGGTACATACGGTACGGAGAATAGACGAGGTCAATGACTATCTTGCACGCATTTTTGTTGCATGGACATCATACGCATACAAATTTCTCGTAGCAAGTCCATATACAGTAGACCGTGGTGTTTTCCGCTGAAGCGAATCCGCAGAAGCGACAGTCTCGCTTCGAAAATTTTGGAGGAAGCGGATTGGAGTTTCCGCTGAAGCGGAAGTTCCGCTTTTCGCCGTTGCCATGCCATTTTTCGCTCCTGCGACCTCGCTTCAGCGTATACGCTACTTTCGAGTGCATGTGTGACCGGGCCTTAACACTACATTGCGTGTACGATGATCTTCCTGCCTCTGCGCACATGCACATGATATGTCACACTTGATTTATCGTGTGTAAGAAATATCGGAAATAAGAATAGAAAGTCGTTTTTCAAACACCCACGCTATAACCGATACCTACTGTAGTCGACTGCAACGAACAAAAACTAAAATTCTTGAAAATGAAAGTCTTTGGGACTTGATATGCCATTGTCTAGATGAGGGAATGAAATCTAACGTTTCCTAACACCACAGTGTACTTCGAAGAAGCGAGTTGAAGAAAAAGTGAAAAACTGCATAAAACTAAAACTAAACTACTACAATGATCCGCACGAAAGCACGGTGTGTGCCAAGAACACGGCAACACGCAGAGGATAGCAGAAGCAGGGGAACCCAAGAATGGCAGTCAGTGTGTGTGTGTGTGTGTCCTATGCAAGCTGGGCAGTAGAGCTACTATACTCTGCAGCACAGGGAAACCCCCTGATGACCACAGGCAATGGCAGAGTCCCCGAGGCTCCACAGAACGCTAACAGATTTGTCTGGTAGAGACCAGGTAGGCATCACGTGTGGAATGTCGAACACAGGCTGATGCCAGCAGAGATCTACCACACACAATGTACTGTAAACTGCCCAATGTTTGCGTCATTAAATGTTTGCGATTTCGCAGAACCAGCGAGTGTACGATGGCAAATGTTTGCGAAGCACTGTGGCCACACGTATGCACTGACTGCACTGACTGTTGAAGCACTGTGGCCACACGTATGCACTGACACGTATGCACTGACTGTTGAAGTTGGATTTCACAATGGTAATATTTGTGTTATGCTCTTCTCGCAAAATTAGCCAACATGAATACGTCGCCAACATTAGGCAGTTTACAGTACATGGATTGTAGTGAGCAGCGCTGCGACTGACACGCACAGCATGCTGTGTTCGTACAAATGACAACACAAGGCTACTTGAGCAGAACACCTGACAAGCAACTAGAATACGGCAGAGTCGCAGTGGCATATCGGGTACCGAAGGCAAGGGTGTTCAACGGCTGGGTAGTGGCTAAGTGCTTCGTGCAGGACAGCATGGCCAACGATGTGGACACTCTATCACAGCAGAGGCATGTGAATAGGTGAGCTGAGAGGACAGGTGTGGCGTATGTCCTCTCGGGCCTGTGCTTTACGCCAGGGTTGCTCGGGACAGCCCACACAACATCAAGAATGCTCTCGAATACAGTTCCAGTGCGTTGAACACATCAAGAGACCCAGCCATTCACTGCACCGTGCTATACGGCTGCTGGGCACTGCACAGTGCTACAGGACTGCAGGGCATGGAGAGCATCACGCAACGCCGAGAACAATGCAAACGCTTTCAAACACTGGCATGTCCAGTACTCCACGATAGGATATGGGACACACACACAATCACGTTCTGCAGTGCTGAGACACTTGGAGGCTCATGTACCCATTGATACAGGCCCTGAGCAGTGTCCAGTCAATGATGACCATCATACAATGTGATGACATCGTGACAGAGTGTCTCATCACTCGACTCTTGCCAGGACTATGTTACCCGATGCAAGAGCAAAGTAGGACAACGGCCGCCGGTCATCGTCCATTTCACGCTCAGCATCGCCCTGTGCACGCACACACACACACACACACCCACCCACACACACACACACACACACACACACACACGCACGCACACAAACTTGTACTTACTCACTGCCATGACTGGTCACGCGAGTCTCCCCCAAAGAGAGGAGAGAGATTAAACCCCAGACAAGTGTGCCTTTATGAACCCTCTGTTACTGACTATCGACTGCATTTTTCGTTGAATGGCATGGAAAACACGACAATTGTCAAGTCAGTAGGGGGCACCACTTTTTCACAGGAGGACGCTCAATCAGTGTGTGTGGGGGGGGGGGGGCTAGAACCCTGATGTACTGTGCACGACTGCAATCTATCAAACAACGAAAGGATCGACAAGAAAGCAGCAGAGAATCAAGGGACCACCAAAAGCAGCAATGAAAGTCAGAATCCACCGGAATGTCTTACCTCTTCTCGTATGTAGGTGAGGCGAATGCGTGCGGAGGTGACCCGAAACAGACGTCGAATCATGCCCCGCAGCGCTTGCAGTGCAACAGTGCCTGTAACAGATAACACACGGTAGTACCATGTACCGTAATGTCGCGTAGTAAAGCCGGGCTTATTCCTGTAGAAGCCGATGTCAGGGCTAGGCTTCTATTCAAACCAGGTATTTCCATGCGTGTCAACTCTACAACCAGGCTTATGTGCCGACAGTGTATCTAGCAACAGAACAGTTGTAACATGAGTGTACACCGTACAGTTGTAACACGGTAAACAGCAGGGAGCTTTCTGCGTGTTCGTGACACCTAACGTCGGGCTTCCACCATCACCGCTTCCACAAGCACAATCACCACCACCACCACCAGTATTACAAGCACCGCCACGAGCAAAAACCGACGCCGCCACCACCAGCAGCAGCACCACCACCATCACTCCCACCAGCACTAGAAGCAGCAGTAGCACCACCACCATCACCCCCACCAGCACTAGAAGCAGCAGTAGCACCACCATCATCACCCCCACCATCACTAGAAGCAGCAGTAGCACCACCACCATCACCCCCACCAGCACTAGAAGCAGCAGTAGCACCCCCACCATCACCCCCACCCCCACCAGCACTAGAAGCAGCAGTAGCACCACCACCACCATCACCCCCACCAGCACTAGAAGCAGCAGTAGCACCACCATCATCACCCCCACCATCACTAGAAGCAGCAGTAGCACCACCACCATCACCCCCACCAGCACTAGAAGCAGCAGTAGCACCACCACCATCACCCCCACCAGCACTAGAAGCAGCAGTAGCACCACCAACATCACCACCAGCAGCACTAGAAGCAGCAGTAGCACCACCACCATCACCCCCACCAGCACTAGAAGCAGCAGTAGCACCACCACCATCACCCCCACCAGCACTAGAAGCAGCAGCACCACCACCAGCATCACCCCCAGCAGCACTAGAAGCAGCAGTAGCAACACCATCACCCCCACCAGCACTAGAAGCAGCAGTAGCACCACCACCACCATCACCCCCACCAGCACTAGAAGCAGCAGTAGCACCACCATCATCACCCCCACCATCACTAGAAGCAGCAGTAGCACCACCACCATCACCCCCAGCAGCGCTAGAAGCAGCAGTAGCACCACCACCATCACCCCCACCAGCACTAGAAGCAGCAGTAGCACCACCATCATCACCCCCACCATCACTAGAAGCAGCAGTAGCACCACCACCATCATACCCACCAGCACTAGAAGCAGCAGTAGCACCAACACCATCACCCCCACTGTAGTGACTACACAGTCACCAGCACACTCAGTCCATTACCACTCGGATGTCTCGTTTAGACAAAGAACCATGAAACTAAAGATGAACAGCAAGATATCCATGCATGCCAGAGAGGCAAGGTGACCAAGCCATTACGGGCACCAAGTAGGCCCAGTTAGGGTCACCAGGTCATGCACTCTGGATGTGCGGGTAACCCCATACGGGTAATGTGTATACTAAATAAGGTGAGTGCATAAAGCATCACTACATCTCCCTTCTGAGACAAAAGGCTCATACAAAGTAACCTAAAAGAAGAAAGAGGGAAAGGAGAAGAGAAAGGTAGGTGCAACAAAACAAATAATGTAGGTAGTCGGAATGATACATGTGCAATAGGTTGTCTATGTGCACAGTAGCCGGGATACGTCAGCTGTAGAGAGTCAACACTCTTCGATGAGACGCCGCGCTGGCTGGCCACGATTGTGACGAATTGGTCGATCTGGCTCGGCTGCATTTGGCTGGGCATTACACACAGGGCCATCAGTGTCGACCGGTGGTGCTGATGGTTGCTGGATCAAATGGTGCCGATTCCTTCGAAGCGTTGCTCCCGAAGACCCGATGCGTACACGATACGAGCGGTCACTGAGCTGTTCCAGCACAGTGCCTTCCGCACCAGTGTCAGCTAGCCAAACCTTGTCTCCTGGTTGCAACACAGGGAGGGGGAGTGTTGCATGCCTCCGATCAAAGTCTGCTTTCTGACGGTCTTGTTGAGTTGCTTCTTTCTCAGCGACGGCGGTCAGATCAGGCCATTCCGGTTTTAGCTGCTCTGCAGTGACTGGCAGTGTTGTCCGGAGGCGGCGACCGAATAGAAGCTGAGCTGGTGCGAACCCGTTTGCTAATGGCGTAGCACGGTAAGCGAGGAGTGCGTCTGCTAAGCTGGTATTCTTCTCCAGAAGACCCTTGGCGGTGCGTACAGCTCGTTCCGCTTCGCCGTTAGATTGCGGGTACTGCGGGCTTGACGTTCGGTGTGTGAAACCATACGATGTGGCAAAACTTCGAAATTCGGCACTGCCGAATTGCGGCCCGTTGTCGGAGACCACTGTGTCTGGAATCCCGTGAACGGCAAATAGACTGTGCAAGTGTGCGATGACACGAGCAGATGTGGTGGACGTCATGGGGATTACGTCTAGGTAGCGAGATAGGTAGTCAACGACGACAAGGTACGACTTTCCTCTGTGCTCCATGAGGTCACAGCCAATCGTGCTCCAGGGCAGAGCTGGGCGTGGAACCGGCTTGAGGGGCTCCCGGTGCTGTGTGCGGTGTTTCGTGCAGGTGGGGCACGTGGCAACCATGTTCTCAATCTGCTTGCTGAGGCCAGACCACCAGATGGAATCTTTGGCGCGTGCCTTGCATTTGGACACTCCCAGATGCCCGTCATGCAGGGAAGCGAGAACAGCGGAGCGCATGCTGGGTGGAATGACGATACGTGGGCCATGGTAGACCACTCCGTCCACACACGACAACAACTGACGTTCGTGGTAGTACGACTGTATGTCCTGCTCGAGACCTTTCGCTGAGCTAGGCCATCCGGTGCGGATGTACTGCAGGACACGGTTCAGGACTGGGTCGGCAGCAGTGGCAGAGGCAATCTCCCGGGACTTTCCGGATGACACGATGGATTGAATGGAAGCCGCAACGTTGATCGTAATCTCGGCATCGAGTGACGGTGTCTCCGTGCATGGCTCAGGTGATCGTGACAGAGCATCCGCCACAACGAGGTTCTTCCCTGGTATGTGGACTGCTGTGGGGTTGTATGCCATCAGTCTCATCAGCAGACGTTGGCAGCGGAGTGGAACTCTGTTGAGGTCACGGGTATTAATCAACGGAATCAACGGCTTGTGGTCCGTATGCACGACGAGAGATGGACACCCGTATACGAAGCTGTGGAAACGCTCACATGCCCACACGACTGCCAGACATTCTTTCTCTATCTGGGCGTACTCGCGTTCGGTATCGGTGAGAGAACGAGATGCATAGGCAACTGCTCGGTAGTCTGTACCGTGTTGCTGAAGCAGAACTGCGCCAAGGCCATAGCTGCTTGCGTCGGCACTGACAACTGTTGGGCGGCTTGGGTCATAGAACGCCAGACACGGGGCCTCTGTGGCCAACTGCTTCAGACGATTGAATGCTTCCTGCTGTGGCTCGGCCCAATTCCAGACAGTGTCGTCGCGAAGTAAGGTCCGCAGAGGAGAGCTCACCTCGGAAAGGTTGGGTATGAAACGGGCCAGGAAATTGAACATTCCAAGCAGGCGTCTCAGGTCAGAGACATCTTTGGGTGGCTTTAGGCTGGTGATAGCTGAGATCTTGGCAGGGTTCGGCAATACTCCCTTGTTGGTGATCAGGTGACCCAGGAACTTCACTTGGCTCTGTCTGAACCGGCACTTCTCCTTGTTGAGCGTAATGTGTGCGGCATCCAGAACCCGCATGACTTCTGCCAAGTGACGGTCATGTTCCTCCATTGTGCGGCCGTAGACGATGATGTCATCCATGTACACTGACACGCCGGGGAGACCATCCAGGAGACCGGAGACTCGGGCCTGGAAAATCTCGGGCGCTGATGTTATGCCGAATGGCAACCGGTTGAAGTGGTACCTTCCAAAAGGCGTAATGAACGTCGTTAGCTTGGCAGAGTCCGACGACAGTGGAATCTGCCAAAACCCATTGGCTGTGTCAAGAGTGGTAAATACGGTCGAGTTCGACAGCGTGGCCAATGTGTCCTCAATGGTCGGTAGCTGGAACGCTTCCCGCTTCACGGATGCATTTAGCCGTTTCAGGTCGACGCATATCCGAACCTTTCCATTCGGCTTCAGTACCGGAACCATTGGCGAGCACCATTCTGTGGGCTCCTTGACTTTTGTTATGATGCCACCATCCTCCATTCTCGCGAGCTCTTCGCGCACCTTACCAAAAAGGTGGTGTGGGACTCGTCGGGCTGTCACACAACGGTATGGCGTCGCATCGGACTGCAGGTGGATATGTGCAGGCGGTCCCTCCATGCATCCGACCAGCGGCTTTCCAGATGGAGGTTGGACCTGAGCACGGGTGGCACTCACGCGCTTGACAAGTCCAAGTTCATCACATGCAGAGCGGCTGAGTAGGCAACCACTTGCACGCTCCAACACGTACATTCGAACATCGGTGGCCTTGCCCTTGTACTTCAGGCTAGCTGAAAAAACGCCACACACAGGTAGAAGCTGGTCATCGGCACCACGCAATTGTACCTTTGTTGATTGGAGTGTGGGTTGTGGACTAATGCTGAGCCATACAGTCTTGGACATCGTTGACACATCCGCCCCTGTGTCCAGCTTGAAGCGTACCATCGTTGTGCCAACTTGCAACTCTGCAAACCAAGGCGAGGTGTCTGAGTTGTCCGCAGCGGTAGTGCCAACAAAAAACTGCTCTGGGTCGTCAGATTCGTCCGGTGCAAAGCCAACTGAGTTCATGCCGACGGCAGACGATTGACGGGTCGCCCTGCAAACTTTCGCAAAATGGTTTTTCTTTCCACACGACCGGCACGACTTGCCTCGAGCTGGACATCGATCTCTTGGATGCGTCCTACCGCCGCAGTTGGGGCAGCACGATGAGGAGTGCAGCACTAGAAGCAGCAGCACCACCACCAGCATCACCCCCAGCAGCACTAGAAGCAGCAGTAGCAACACCATCACCCCCACCAGCACTAGAAGCAGCAGTAGCACCACCACCACCATCACCCCCACCAGCACTAGAAGCAGCAGTAGCACCACCACCACCATCACCCCCACCAGCACTAGAAGCAGCAGTAGCACCACCATCATCACCCCCACCATCACTAGAAGCAGCAGTAGCACCACCACCATCACCCCCAGCAGCGCTAGAAGCAGCAGTAGCACCACCACCATCACCCCCACCAGCACTAGAAGCAGCAGTAGCACCACCATCATCACCCCCACCATCACTAGAAGCAGCCGTAGCACCACCACCATCACCCCCACCAGCACTAGAAGCAGCAGTAGCACCAACACCATCACCCCCACCAGCACTAGAAGCAGCAGTAGCACCACCAACATCACCGCCACCAGCACTAGAAGCAGCAGTAGCACCACCACCATCACCCCCACCAGCACTAGAAGCAGCAGTAGCACCACCACCATCACCCCCACCAGCACTAGAAGCAGCAGTAGCACCACCACCATCACCCCCACCAGCACTAGAAGCAGCAGTAGCACCACCACCATCACCCCCACCAGCACTAGAAGCAGCAGTAGCACCACCACCATCACCCCCACCAGCACTAGAAGCAGCAGTAGCACCACCACCATCACCCCCACCAGCACTAGAAGCAGCAGTAGCACCACCACCATCACCCCCACCATCACTAGAAGCAGCAGTAGCACCCCCACCATCACCCCCACCCCCACCAGCACTAGAAGCAGCAGTAGCACCACCACCACCATCACCCCCACCAGCACTAGAAGCAGCAGTAGCACCACCACCATCACCCCCACCAGCACTAGAAGCAGCAGTAGCACCCCCACCATCACCCCCCACCACCACCAGCACTAGAAGCAGCAGCAGCACCACCACCATCACCCCCACCAGCACTAGAAGCAGCAGTAGCACCACCACCATCACCCCCACCAGCACTAGAAGCAGCAGTAGCACCACCACCATCACCCCCACCAGCACTAGAAGCAGCAGTAGCACCACCACCATCACCCCCACCAGCACTAGAAGCAGCAGTAGCACCAACACCATCACCCCCACCAGCACTAGAAGCAGCAGTAGCACCACCACCATCACCCCCACCAGCACTAGAAGCAGCAGTAGCACCACCACCATCACCCCCACCAGCACTAGAAGCAGCAGTAGCACCACCACCATCACTCCCACCAGCACTAGAAGCAGCAGTAGCACCACCACCACCATCACCCCCACCAGCACTAGAAGCAGCAGTAGCACCACCATCACCCCCACCAGCACTAGAAGCAGCAGTAGCACCACCACCATCACCCCCACCAGCACTAGAAGCAGCAGTAGCACCACCACCACCATCACCCCCACCAGCACTAGAAGCAGCAGTAGCACCACCATCATCACCCCCACCAGCACTAGAAGCAGCAGTAGCACCACCACCATCACTAGAAGCAGCAGCAGCACCACCACCATCACCCCCACCATCACTAGAAGCAGCAGTAGCACCACCACCATCACCCCGAGCAGCGCTAGAAGCAGCAGTAGCACCACCACCATCATTCCCACCATCACTAGAAGCAGCAGTAGCACCACCACCATCACCCCCACCAGCACTAGAAGCAGCAGTAGCACCACCACCATCACCCCCACCAGCACTAGAAGCAGCAGTAGCACCACCACCATCACCCCCACCAGCACTAGAAGCAGCAGTAGCACCACCACCATCACCCCCACTAGCACTAGAAGCAGCAGTAGCACCACCACCATCACCCCCACCAGCACTAGAAGCAGCAGTAGCACCACCACCATCACCCCCACCAGCACTAGAAGCAGCAGTAGCACCACCACCATCACCCCCACCAGCACTAGAAGCAGCAGTAGCACCACCACCATCACCCCCACCAGCACTAGAAGCAGCAGTAGCACCACCACCATCACCCCCACCAGCACTAGAAGTAGCAGTAGCACCACCACCATCACCCCCACCAGCACTAGAAGCAGCAGTAGCACCACCACCAGGTTAGGTTAGGCAGTTGATGAATGAGTGCAAAGACAGTCAAGAGTAAAATCCAACTTGAGAATACAATACTAGTATTTCTGCGGCTGCATGCCACCAGCACTAGAAGAACTAGGTTATGCAGTGCTCACAACTCTGCTTTATTCGTGCTGTTGGATTTTACTACTCCCGACAGTACTTCAGACTAGGCGAGTGATCTATCGGTGGGATTGGATTTTACTACTCCGAAACAACAGTACATCATACTAGACAAGTGAATCTGACAAGAGGGTCTAATGTGTCCTGAGTTGTTCCATTACAATCGGATTTCAACAAGACAGTAGTAGATCTGCAACACTGTCGGAAACTGCAGTGGCAGCTAAGATACGTACTTGGTACTGACACAGTCTTGGGTGGCTTGTCTGGCTCATCCGGGAACTGGATTTGAAATGCTGTAGAGCATAACCAAGAGAGAGAGAGAGAGAGAGAGAGAGAGAGAGAGAGAGAGAGAGAGAGGGAGGGAGGGAGGGAGGGAGGGAGGGAGAGAGGGAGGGAGAGAGAGAGAGAGAGAGAGAGAGAGAGAGAGAGAGAGAGAGAGAGAGAGAGAGAGAGAAAGAGAGAGAGAGAGAGACGGAATAAATCAATGTCATTACAGGATTAGCTTCCAGGTGGAGACTAAAGAGACGGAAACAACAGGTTCAAGACAGTGCATTATCAGTGCATGATCAGGTTTCCTACAACTGTAGTCGCAGTCCTTGTTGTGCCGGCGCACCTGGGACAAGTCTTCCGAGGCCATGGAGCCTGATGTTGCTGTCTCGCTCGCCAAGCAGCTACCAGCACGCGGCATCCCCGTTGGTGCACACATTGCAGATGATGATGCGGCGACAGTCAAGAAGTTGAGAGAGGAGGTGGATCAAGATATTGACAAATGGGCTGATTTGTCACATACCAAGAAGAATTGTGGGTCCAAGCTCGACGGTGCCAAATTGCAGAACGAGGAGCTGAAGAATGCAAAGGTATGTGTAGTAGACAGACTTTTTCCTACACAAACCTTATGTCACAGTGGCCAGTGATGCGTAACTCCCTTGCTTACATTTAGAGATCGCTAGCTAGCGCTGGGAGTTGTAACTAGACTTACCATGCCGTATATCTATATAGACTTACCATACCGTATATAGATATAGACTTACTGTACCGTATATAGATATAGACTTACTGTACCGTATATAGATATAGACTTACTGTACCGTATATCGATATAGACTTACTGAACCATATATAGATATAGACTTACTGTACCGTATATAGATATAGACTTACTGTACCGTATATCGATATAGACTTACTGTACCGTATATAGATATAGACTTACTGTACCGTATATAGATATAGACTTACTGTACCGTATATAGATCCGTCTGTCAGTTTCCCAGTTCAGTTGTTGCAGTCTTTACTTCCGTTTTCTTAGTCTTCCCTTCACTTGAGTCTTTCTGTGCTAATAACATTGTGTCTTCGTGCAATCACTTAGTGCAATATTATTCCCTGAGAATACTACTTGTGTTTTGAGTCGGAGAGACTGAACCAGTTTTGCCTTGTCACTCGGTCGCGTACTACAGTATGTGATATTCTCATGCATGAGCTCGATACGTGTACACAAGAACAGCAACATTTAGAATTAGCAGGCCTTCGTAAGACATTTCATGGTCATAAGAACTGAATGGACGTTTTGAACATTGAACTACCCAGGGTGTGGTGTGTTGTTTCAAACGTGTACATAGTTTTTAATACAGTCAATCTAAAGGTGACCGTATGCTTTGCTCTTTGATTACAGGTGACTAGCCACATCACAGAGTGCTTTATGCACTGCGTGAAGTGAACAAGAACAAGCCTGATATGTTAGCTACGAGACTGCACAACATTCCTCAGCATCTCTTTGGCAGCCACAGTGCCTGTGGTGAGCGGTGTCGGGCAAAGAAGTTGGACAATCCCGCCAAGTACAAGTTTTCCAGCTTTCCCACAGGGAAACCACTGCAGTCAGCTGAGCAGCTTTCCCACAGGGAAACCACTGCAGTCAGCTGAGCAGCTTTCCCACAGGGAAACCACTGCAGTCAGCTGAGCAGCTTTCCCACAGGGAAACCACTGCAGTCAGCTGAGCAGCTTTCCCACAGGGAAACCACTGCAGTCAGCTTTCCCACAGGGAAACCACTGCAGTCAGCTGAGCAGCTTTCCCACAGGGAAACCACTGCAGTCAGCTGAGCAGCTTTCCCACAGGGAAACCACTGCAGTCAGCTGAGCAGCTTTCCCACAGGGAAACCAATGCAGTCAGCTTTCCCACAGGGAAACCACTGCAGTCAGCTGAGCAGCTTTCCCACAGGGAAACCACTGCAGTCAGCTGCCCATCAGGCATACTTGCAGGAGCTCTTTGAAAAGCGGGCGCAAAATTCGGCTAAACTGGCACTGTGCGACAGCTCAAACCGCAGTGAGTCCCTGAACCAGACCTTCACCAGACTAGCGCCGAAACGTCTCCACCTCAGTGGCTCAGAGTCTTATGACTACAGACTTGGTTGCGGGGTGGCCCAGCAAGAACATTGGAAGCAACTATTTGCTCGAGGCCCTAAAATCTGCCGGATTGTCTCCAGGAAAGCACATGAAGCATACACGCGGACTACCGACAGAGTGAAAGAGAAGGCTGTTGTGTATAGTGTGTGTCGCCGTATTGTCCCTCTCCGTATTGTCTCTCTCTCATCTATTATACGCATGCTCGTTGTACAAAAATCAGTCTTTGTCTTGTCCCGCAATGGACTCTTGCGTGGTTGCAGGCGAACACAACAAAGGTAACGCCAGTTTGAGCCGATGATCAAGGCAAAGGCCTTGAGCAAAGGCATGGCTCAAAAAGCAGCAGAGAGCGGGCTAGTGCTCCAGCACACACACGCTTGGCACATCAACGTGGTGGGAGGGATGGAGCTGCCGTCCTCTTTGGCGACAAATCATCTGGCACAGTCCGCATTACCAGGTCAGCCCGCATTGTCGATGCTGCCGCAGCTTTTCTGGAGTCTTTTGGAAAGTGACAAGTACCTGGTAAATTTATCTCTTTATATCTTGCTTGCTGTCCTGAGATTGAGTTTCTTTATATCTACTGATTTATCCATCTATAATTCAATCTATCTATCATTCCCCGCGAACTGATTTGACATATCAGTCGGTAGTGTCTCTGTGTTCACTTATCTGTCGAGCTGGCTTGTCTTCTTCTTTCTTTTGTGCCAGGTGTACATCATTCTGTATCCAATCCATTGTTCATGCTTGGTGACCAGCTCCCCGTGAACAGCTGTTCTATCAGTACCAACTTGATAACCAATAGAACCTTGACTCTCTATCAAGTTTTGCATGAAAAAACAGTGTCTAGGAGGTAACATACACATGTCCCATATGTGAAAATGGTCCATATCAGCAACATTTTGCCCAAATACTCCAAAAACTTTTGTTTTTCCAGCTCAGTAATGGTCTGACTTGAGCATAAAGAAGCAAAGCATGCACATCTTCGGACCAATCTTGATATTTCATCCTCCTTGTAACAAATTTGTCGTAAATTTTGCAACCCGCAAAAGCTTTTCAAACTGAATACTGTAAAAGCCATTATTCTAACGAGGCGCATATATAACGATTTCCCGAAATCGACTGGTTTACGTGTACCAAAGGTAACGATTCTCACTTATTCTCAACGCTCAATAGGACAGTATATGTATCGATTTCTGTATAACGATTTCTATTTTAACGACAGATTTCTAGCACTTCGTTATAATTATGGCTTTTACAGTAGTTGATTTCAAGGCTGGTAATACTTCCCCGATGCCCCAGTTTTGTTCCAGGGACATCCCTGGACGAAGGAGAGCACCAAGAAAGACTCAATAAAGCATTCTGATGAAAATATTTCCAGAAGAGATGTGCGTTAAAAACTCCGCTAAATCGCAAAACTGGATATTTTGTAGGCAGCATACTGCAAGATTTTGCCCAATCCCCCCCCAGGTATGTTTTTTTCCACTCAGTACACATGTAGGAAGGTGTGGAAAAAGAAAAACTGAACAATCTCCTGACCAATTTTTTTAGTACCGTAAAGTACCGTTGATCCCCCCCCCCCCCCCCCCCCCCCACGCCATGTCGCTTCCCAGCTGGGTTTTCGGCAGGGGGTGGGAATTAGATCAAGGCTGTCAAGTGCAGTACGATGTACAACAACGTAGATGTTCAGACTCGATGTGCTGGATTGTGCACATTTTCATCCTGGATTGGCACGTATTGTGTACAGCAGTGCATGCGTCGGTTCAACATCGTATTTTCATTGTATACGCCGAAGTCGCTTCACAGGTAGAAAATCGACAGGGGGCGGGAATTAGAGACGGGGCGGATCAACGGTACTTTACGGTATTGAGCTACCTTAAGTGAGACAAGTATTATGTACTCACAGAGCTTCTGTGATTTGGGTGCGGGTGCCTCTGTCGCCGATGGTGGTGGACCGTGTTCTGAACAAACACACATAACAAAACAAAAGGAGAGTGAGCGGAGACAAATATTTTGGGCGTATTCCCACTCATCCACAGGCTTCTCGCCAAACCAAAGGACAAGCCTGCAGCAATCATGGTTAGGGGCCATCCGGAACTATCGATAATTTTTGGGAAACGAAAAAGTTTAATTATGACCCTCCAACGCCCGCCCACCCCCATGAACGAAAAATATATTGACTTGACAGCTAGAGTGGACTCATGTTTCAGCTATCAATATTTTTCATAACGAAACTCTCCTCAACCCACCTACCCACCCATGAAGGAAACTGTTTCTCTTCGTGAAAAGATTGATAATTACGGATGGCCCCTTATGCAGTGAACAAGCAGCACAATCTCTTTTTAAACAAGCACTAACCATCCTGGAAATGACAGACTCACTTTGCAGCAGAGCAAGAAAGGAGCGGTGGGCAGTTTCAAACGCTGGCGCAACTGACGAGGGTGCGTCCACGGTACCACCGTGGCGAGTAAAGTCAGCAAAGTAGCGCTTCAAATAGTACTGCTCAGCAAACGACCTCTCCTTCGCGTTCACCTGCAGGAGAGGCCAGGGAGAGAGTGTGTGACAGAGACAGAACCAGACAGACAGACAGATACACACACAGACTCAATAAGATCAGACACTATACAATACGTATGCACCCACACACTGTGCCATTCTTCCAGAGGCAACTAAACATTTACATGTGCCAGCACTATTAGCAGCAGTTATATAAGTTACAACAGTTGCAGGAACAGCAACAGCAGCAACAGCAACAACAGCAGCAGCAGCAACAGCAGCGACTGAAATATGTTCCTGCAAAACTTACAGGGCTGACGTGCAGCATTGCGAGTTGCGGAATACGAGCTATCAACAACTGGCGACTATCTGCTTCTGATTCATCTGCAGGCATAAAGCACACACACACATACACACACACACATTGTGAGCAGAGACGAGTGATAGAGAGTATATAGTGGGTTTTTTTAAGGATTTCTCAAACTCCATTGCAGCCATCTGCATGCCACCTAATCTAAACACTCACTCACATGTTGTTATGGTCTCTCTTTGCTGCTGCTGATGATGATTATTATTATTATTACGAAATGACCCAAAGGTAATATGCCTATCATTCTGCCATTCTGTACGAGCAACCACTGCACACCGTCTCTCGGCGGCATGAGCTACAGATGAACACATCATGCAGGTAACAGGACACCGGAATGCCATGAGCCTTGCAAGCTACAGCAAGCTACAGCAAGCCACCCTCTTGAACAACAAAAGACAAATGACAGTGCTACAAGATGACAGCTCTACAAGATGATCCTTCAAGTAACTCGTCTGAAAGACGCCAAGCGAATTCATTATCGGGAAAGCCAGATGAAAGATCAAGGACAGCTGATGAAAATTGTCAGCAATCGTCGTTTAACTCACGTCAAAAG